AAACTCGACCTACCGCTCTCGCAACTCTTCTCCCCCCCCCTTTTATGCGGTTGCAAATTTCATAGCGTTGCAAAAGAAATAAAAGGTTCCTTCGGTGCGTTTGCAGTCTTTTTTTTTTTTTTTTGCAAGCGGGCTTGCAGTGTGGAACGGAGCCGGGCTGGTGGGGGTGGGAGAAACATCTTAGTGCCCCCCCTCAATTATTTAGCCTTATTATCTAAAACACCCCCCCCCTATTATTTCCTGGCGGAATAATGAAGGTCTTTGCAACGGACCCTTTCTATCTCCTATTCCATCTTCTTGGACGGAATTTATAGATAGCAATCGGTTTTCTTGAGATTTGGGGGCTTTCTTAAGCGCCCCCCCTTTTAGCTCTCGATATCATGCCGGGTAATCCCCCCCTCCCTTAAGTATATAATAGAAAATGAGAGTGATCACGCCCCCTTCCATCTAGGATATATGCGCGGCGGAGTAAGGGGGAGGAGTACTTGGATTTAAAAGAAAATGCAGTATTAAAAAAAAAAGCCCAATCTCTTTGGAAATAATATGAGTCTACCGCTAAGAGATCGACCTATTGCTGATATAAAAGGGGGGGGGGGGGTTGGAGCAATCGACTTGGTTTTTTTAGGCTTGCGACTATCCCCCCCCCAAAAATATTCCGGATTTTTCCCTTTCCAGAATATGCTACATATGTGTCCGTATGTGGTCCTATATAGCCTTTGGGTTGTGTGCGTGTTTTTTTAAGTAATTATTTTGCAAAATCGGTGAATGCATTTTCCGTCAATCCTGTTGTAAATAAGAAAAAAAAAAGAGGTGTGTATGTTGCACACGCCCCCTTCTTTTAGGATGCCCCCCTCTCCCAGCCCCTGACGTCTAAATTTGCTCGAATAACGCTGCAGATCTGCTAAAGGAACCAAAAAAAAAAAGCTCTCCCATTGGGTGCATTGCTACACAAAGGAATACAGACCTGCTGCAGTCTACTCACACCCCCTTCCATCTAGGTCCCTGGGTCCAACAGATCAGAGAAAACATGTTGTTAACCTTTTGAAGAATCATTTTTCAGTACGTGGCCCCCCCTAAAAAGATGCAAGGATCATTTTAAGAAAAAAATTCTTTTAAATTGATGCTTCCTATTGGGAAACATCTGTGTAGCTTCCATTGTAATTCTCACCCCTGAGAAAGAGCAGGATTGTGACTGTGGGTAGGTGGGTGTGTTGGGGGGGGGGAGAGGGCAGAATTCACTTTCTTGAAAGGAGGGGTGCCTTTTTCTGGGTCTCTTTCTAGCTCTTTGTCCTCTCTGTGTTTATAGACTTTACATGTTTCATTGTCATGTTTTGGTTGGCCTGAACATTCTTTTGACCAGCTGTTTAATCCAGCCAAAAATTGTTTTCTGAATCCTGACAATTTGTCTGTTCCCCCCCCCTCCTTCTCTCTCTTCCAGGGTCTTTTTCAACCAATCCGGACTAGCTTCATCCAAATTTTTCTCTCTCTCCTCCCTTCCTTGTTTCTTTTACTATTTTTCTCCCATTCTCTTATTTGGAATATTCCTGCATTTTTAAGATCTCAAGATGGTGCAGAAGAAAACTGAACTTAAAGGCTTCCATCGTTCTTATAAGGTACGGTGTGACTATTTCATTTTAAAAAGTGATATTAAATCATTTTCTTCATGTTTTAAATCTTTGCTACTTTGCTTTTGGTTGTAAAAAAAAGTGAGCCTGTGGGGTTTAGCTTTCTGTCCAGCAAATGGCAGTGGGTTCTGAATTGCAAGGGGAATATCTGGCTGTTGTCAATAAAAAGAGGAAATGGGCAAGAAACTAAACTTTTGTTGGTCGTGCTTGCAAGCTTCCTGAGTCATACCAAAGAGTTAATCTCTGAGAAGTGAGGTAGCTGTCCCTTGGGAATACACAATATTTCCTAAAGTATTTACAACAGGTAGAAGTTAACAGGTGTTTCTGCAGTCTTTGGCACAAAATGTTGCAAGTGATCCGGTTTTTCCAAATTTCTTGATGTTCCTTTCTCCGTCCTGTTGTAGCATATTTTGTGACTGTTGAATAGGCTCTGTTTCCGTTGAAACTTTTGTAGTTTTTTTATAAAATATATTCAATTCCTTTCCAGTATTCAATGTTGTTGGTACTCAAGATTTCTTAGTTTTGTACAAAGGAGTTGGTTTCTGTCACTTTACGTTTAAAGTAGGACTGAATTTTGGAATATAGCGCTTAAATTCCTGGGGAAGAAATGGTCAGGATCCCCAAATACAGGTAGTCCTCAACTTATGACCACAATGGAGCCCAACATTTATGTTGCTACATGAGACATTTGTTAAGTGAATTTTGCCCCATTTTACGACCTTTCTGGCTATAGTTAGCATTGCAGAGTTGGTAACACAGTTGTTGAGTGAATCTGGCTTCCTCATTGACTTTGCTTGTCAGAAGGTCACAAAAGTTGTTCACGTGACCCTAGAACAATGCAACCTTCGTAAATAGGGACCAATTGCCAAGCATCTTAGTTTTGACCACATGGCCATAGGGATGCTGCAAATGTGAAAAAGGGCCATAAATCACTTTTTTCAGTGTTGTTGCAACTTTGAAAAATCACTAAACAACTGTTGTAAGTCAAGAACTACCTGTAGTTTGTGTTTATGTGTTTGTTGTAAAATATGAACCGTTAAGTCCCTACTGCACCACCATTTACCTCCTTACCTATTCTTGTTCTTGCCAATACTTTGCAAATATCTGGTGCCAAAAGTGGTACAGTATATTATTTCCATAGCACTGTCTATCTCAATGTTGGCAGCTTGAATACATGTGAACATCAATTCCCATGCTTGCAGTAGAATTCTGCGAGTTGAAGTCCACACATTTTCAAGCTGCTAATGTTCAGAAACCCTAGTCTGTCCCAATTTGCAATCTTCCAACTCCATCTTAGACCTCGATGATCATAATTTCCTTCCTTCCTAGATTTGGCAAATATCAAGGAGTGTTTCAGTTTAGAATGGCATTGTTTACATTAGACTAATTTCTAGTTTGCTTAACCACAGTATGAGACCAGTTCTGTGCTGCTAATCATGGTTTCCAAACCGAAGCTCAATTTGCTGTATCAAAAGCTGCTGCTTGATAAACCCAGTGAGTCCTGACTTCCAAGTAGTTAATATTTTATTTGGATAAGAAATAAGCTTGTGGGGGAAGGGCAGGAATAGAGAAAGTTAAGGAACAACAGTGTTGAGAAAGCAAATTGGAAGATTTTAAAGCAAAATAAAGGCTTGTGTATGTGTTAAATAGAAGAAGAAAAATGCATGTTTAGCTCCCCCAGATTGGATTCACACATTCAACTAAGATATAGTGTGGTTTGCTTTTTAGCAATTACTAACACATAAGTTTTGTAAACCCTGATGTGAGGGTTAATTAATGTGAATTTAGCCATGTGTAATTAGTACAGTGTAGTTAATTGTGGTTTAGTTTGTTGTGTTGACCACAGCTACTGTGTTCAATATGTTCTCCCAACATGATGCATGTTGAGATTATAATTTTAGCTACAAATCCTTTTACATAGCAACGGGTTTCAGTGTGCCTTTTCTGGACTCCACAAGAAAAAAACCTGGCTTGGATTTTAAAGAGGATATATCCTTGTTTTGTCTTGTCTTGCTTTTGAAGTAGCTTGACATAAGTGTGATCCTGGGTTGTGATCTGCAGTTCTAGCCCTAAAGTGGTTATTGCAACCTCTGATTTTGCAGAGAGACCCAAGAGGCATGTTTGTAATGACAGCAGACTCACCTGTTTTTTTTAAAAAAAAACAACAATAATGATAGTTTGCAATTGTTCAAACTTCTCTTATTCGTTTTACAAAAAAATCCCTTGCCTCTTTCCCCCCCTTGTTGGAGTAACTCTGGATTGGAATTCTCTGTGTCCCGTCCCCCCCAAATGTAAAGATAAGCTTCTAGTTCTTTTGAGTGATGTAAAGAAAGCTATTGCTGACATGTCCGAACATGCCTGAAGATTTGGGGATAAACCAAAGCTTTGTGGGTAGCTGGGGGGGGGGGAAACCACCAATAGGGTTTGAAGGATGCAGATTGAAGGCCCCACCTTGAGGGAAATGAAAGAGAGGGACATCTGGCAAAAAAAGTCAGTAAAGTGATGGAAAACCTGTGTGAAAACAATCAGCATTTATTCATTTATTCTGTGCTCCTATACTGTCAGGTAGAAATTCAAGGTGATTTATAGGTGGTCATGTGCATGGTTTGTGGCCTTTTGGAAGAATAGAGATTGCAAGAGTGCAATTGTGGGCTCGCCCGCCTGGCTCTTCCAACTAGCTGCCTTGTTCCCATTGTGCAGGTGGAGTAACTGAGCCTGAGAGAGTCTCCCAGCCAGTTCAAAAACCGGTCCTGCTTATGAGTTCTACCCCGCAGGGATGCCAGTCAGCACTCTGCTAAAAGCACGGGGTTCAGCCTATGAGGATTTCTCCTCTTTCCCATCAGTCCATGTTCATCTTTTGCTGGCTGCTCCTAAATTATGGGTTGTTGCCGTCCTGTGAGGGCTGGCCCTGTTGGGCACTGAGGTAGGGTAGTTGGGCCGGTCTCTACTTTTTAATACAAGCTTCTGTGGCTTAAGTTGGGTTTGTCCTTCTTGAAAGCTGGGCAATTGCTTGTCTTCATCACACAGGCTGAACTCAGAAAGTGCATAGTTGGAATGCTTTTTCTCTTTGTATCACTGAGTGCTGTATCTTACGATTTATGATGATTGCATTTTATAATTATGATCATGATTTATCACTTGTTGTATGTACACTGAGAGCTTATGCATAAATTCCGTGTGTTCAGTCACACTTGGTCAATAAAAAGTTCTATTCTATTTTTTGGGACAATTGTTTGCAGGGTGGCACAAAGGTTAAAATAGCTCCCACCTGATTTTGTGTGTGTGTGTGATTTCAAAGTCAAGTTGCTAGTCCTGATGGGGCACTTCTGAACAAACGATGACTGTCAAGAATCAAGCATGGGGAGCAGCCTTTGAAAATTGCACCAATCTTCCCTAGAGTCCAAATAATGTTATTGTAGAGACCATCCCGGTTTACTGTATATATTATGCAATATATACAATATACTGGTTTACTACTATAACTAGATGGAGGATATAGAGATATTTAGTTCTATGTGGTAAATATATGACAATAGGAGGTCACCTTCATCCCAGATTTTCCAAATGATTTTTGCAGTATAACTGCTAGCGCTGGTTTTGTGGATACTCCAAATCTTTATGAGATAATCTACGGAGAGATTTGAGAAGGAAAGAACAAGTTCCCTTCTGCACTAAGTGAACTAAGTTTGTTGGGCCCTAGCTTACTAATAAAACTCAGCTGCTGTGGCTTATTCAGCCAGTATAAACCATGAGGACCTAGCTACAGCTTAAGTAAGGCTGATGTCTTGGAAATATGGTTGAATGAGAATTTACAATCCTTGCTCCTAGTCAAATTCCGAAGCACTAGCTAGAGGTATCTGAGAAAGTAAAGACACACCAGAATTAAATTCAAATACATTTCCCCCTTTTGGTCTATGGCCTTTCAGCAAATGGATGATGTAAGACACTAATACTCCTGTTAAAGGAAATAATGCTGTGTTAATATGTCATTTCAGGATTAAGGAGATCCAGGTTCAAACCCTTTGCAGTATTTTTAGCCTTCCAATCAATTTTAGCCTACCTAACAAGAGAATAGAAGGGCAGGAGTTGCAGAATTAGCTACCATGTCTGGCATTCCTAGGGGGAAAAGTACGACGAACATTTATTTTCAGATCCCCAGTTACTCCACAAAAAGAAAAGAAAAACAGGCAGAAAATAAAATTGAGAATCGGAATCTTGATTATGGAAGAACCAAATCTGAGTCACCCCCCCTCCCTTTGCAGATTTGGGGCATTTATGAACACGCAGTTTGCATTTTTCCTCCAATTTCTCCAAAGTCTTTGCTAAATTGGGCTTGCTCTCCTGATGTCCTTTTTGCAAATTAAATGTGTGTTATGTAATACCCATTCCCTTCACTCTGGTTTCTGAATGTGATCACTGAATTTGGTTTGGGTTGGCTGCACTGAACATTTTGGGCATTAACTTGAATTTCTTGCTGGTGTTTTTCCATCAGGTTTATAATTGCTCCAGTTGCCTTGTGGGTATTGCCAACCTGTTTTTTACTGCCTAATCTTAATTTAGCACTCTTGTGTTGATTTTTATTTTTAAAGAGCCAGGTAGATACTTTGGAGCCATTGGTTGTGGTGGATTTTGTGCGTCTGTGTGTTTTCAGGGGTGGGGGAATTTTGCTGCAAAATTCCTGTCGGGTGCAGTCGTTTTCTGTTTTTGTTTAAATAGCACAGCTTCCTGGCGTGGAACCAAACGCGGCCGGTGTGGTTGTAAAGTTCTTGGTTTGTGAGTGTGGTGTGGTGGAGAGCAGCTGGAAAGAGAAGACGGGGTGGGGGGCTGGGAGGACCTGAATGGATGTGCTTAGGTTTGTGTGTGTCCTGATGCTGCTGTTTGCCTCCCTGTGGTGTCCACACTTTCTTTTTTTTTTAAAGCTGCTTGTGTTGATGTAACTTCTGTTGTACCTTGTGGCTTGGATGCCAGCGAGGCCCTGGAAAGGGGGT